AACCCCCCCCCACCTTCCCATGGACTCCTCCTACCTTTCTATGGACTCCTCCCACCTTCCCATGAACCCCTCCTACCTTCCCATGGACCCCTCCCACCTCCCCATGGACTCCTCCTACCTTCTCACGGACTCCTCCTACCTTCTCACGGACTCCTCCCACCTTCCCATGGACCCCTCCCACCTTCTCACGGACTCCTCCTACCTTCTCACGTACTCCTCCCATCTTAGCTTTGAGGCTGGAAGCTCTGAAGGCCTCACAGTTACCATTTCTAATCCCTAACCGTCTTCTCCCTGGAAGTTGGAAGCAGAAGCTGGCTTTATCATTACTGCGGTGTCCTTGTGTAAGAAGGCTGGTATCTGGTGGCTCAAGATTTGAGGTGGCCCTGAGCCTGGGGCCAGCACTCAGCCATATCTTGTCTCCTCACCCCACCCAGTTTCCTCCACTGTCCCCTCCTCCGATGGCTTGTCTTTCACCCACAGAGCAGTCTCTACAGTGCGCACGGCCTGGGGGTGGCGACTCTCAGCACAGTCTATGCCTCTGTGCTGCTGTCCTCCATGTTCCTCCCGCCTGTCCTCATCAAGAAATGTGGCTGCAAGTGGACCATCGTGGGCTCCATGTGCTGCTACGTGGTCTTCTCCCTGGGCAACTTCCATGCCGACTGGTACAGCCCCTCTAGCCAGTCCTTCCTAGTGTGTGTGCCTTCCCTCGGTCCCAGCTGCCTTCCTCTCTTGTCCCTGACCCTGGTGGTAACCCTTTCCTTGGGATCTCTCCTGGGCCTCGCCTTCACACACAAAGGTGTCATCGTGGCCCCAATGATGATAGAGAATCTGATGCAGATGATTCTCAGGGAGACTCGGCCAGCAAGGGACCAACGATTCATCTCTTGTACCCTCAGATTTTGAGAGTAGGGCAGAGGGGATCGCTGGCCTGTGTGGGCACACAGTGATCCCTTTTTCCATCTTTGCTGGGTTTTCTGCAGGTATACCCTGATCCCTACCTCCATCTTGCTGGGCCTGGGTGCAGCCCCCCTGTGGTCGGCGCAGGGTACCTACCTCACCATCATGGGAAATCTGCAAGCAGGCAAAGTGGGAAAGCCTGGCAAGGATGTGGTGAACCAGTACTTCGGCATCTTTTTTCTTGTATTCCAATCTTCCGGAGTGTGGGGCAACCTGATTTCCTCGCTGGTGTTCGGCAAGATGTCCGGGCAAGGTAAAGGGTGAGGGCTGAGTGGCCTTAGGAATAGCCAGGTCTCCATGGGAGCCACATGCTGTCCCAGTTCCATCTCAATGCCCGTCCTTACTGTGGAGGCAGGTGGCCCTGCACCTCTGGGGACAGACAGGAGGCTGAGTAGTTGTCTTTTCCACAGGTACCCTGTGGAAGTTGGGAAACTCTTTGGAAAAGGGAACCTCAGAGTCACCAAAGACACCTCCAAACTGTGTTCTCAGCACAAAGGAGATTTATTTGCCCCAGAGGGAGAGGGACAGAGGGCAGGGATAAGGGACAAAGACAGGAGGTAGAAGGAGAGGGAGACGGGGAAGAGAGCAAGTGAAAGTGAGGAAAGGGACAAGAGAGAGGGGAAGGGGTGTTTGTCCCAGAGTGGGGGATGAGGCAAAGGACTGTCTCGGGATAGAGAGGAGACAGATGCGGCCCATAGGCAAATGGCGGTTTATAAGGGTAAAATGGGAAATCCCATGTTAGGATGAGGTGTTTAATTTTAATTGGGCTTGTTAACTAGGTGAGCCAAAGGAGGCTTTTGGTTGCTGGACTTCAATACTTTGATAACTGGACCTGGGCAATCACCCTCAGGAGGAAGTGATCAAAGAAGGAAATAAACCTTGGGGGCTAGCTTTAGGAATGTAGTCTAATGGTTTGCAGCAAGGTAAAGGGAACTGGGGAGAAGGGCAAGGCCTGACAGAGATGTGTTTGAGACCTGGAGAGAGTCCCTTCAGGTGTCATGGGGAAACTGACCACTCCCAAACTCCCACTTGGGTAATGTGGATCCACAGAGTTGCTAAGAAGAATTTATCTGGCTCATTTCCCTATAAAACCGAGCCACATGGCAGTGTTATAACCCTCTGCCCAATTCCTTATCCCATGACTGTGAAGGAAAGGCCATGGACTTCAGACTTAGCTTAGATACAACTAGGCCACTGTGTTCCTCGGTAATGAGATAATCCCCCACTGGCGTGCGAGAGACCACCCTAACCTAGACAATAGTCTCTCACCCCAGGGATGTGCCCAGAGGCTTGTCTCCTACATGGTTTGAGAACTTGACAAGCTGACAGCACTATCATAGTAGTTCCAACTTGTGTGTGTGTAAGGGGGGGAGGAGAGAGAGGGGGAGGGAGAGAGAGAGAGAGAGAGAGAGAGAGAGAGAGAGAGAGAGAG